TTGTGGCTAAGAGCCACTGACGGACCTCTGCTCCATATAAGAACATAAGAGAGAAGCCAGTGTTGGATCAGGCCAATGGCCCCAGACCGAGAGTTCCTATCTATACCTTGTGGCTAATAGCCACTGATGGACCTCTGCTCCATGTGTTTATCCAGTTCCCTCTTGAAGCTGTCCGTGCTTGTAGCTGCCTCCACCTTCTCCTCCAGTCTATACCTTTTACTTAATAAAAGTCAACCTTTTGTGGGGAAATGCTGCATCCATCTGCAGTCTGTGCATACAGAGGCTGAGGCCCCAAGAGGCCCAGAGTTGGGTGTACATCTGTGCATGGCCATATATCCAGGATAACAAAAGAGGGATGAGTCTTGACCCCATATGGTACTCCATCCCACCCCTATTCCTTGCCCGTAGATGGGGACAGCAAAGGATGAGATGGTTAGACAGTGTCATAGATGCAACGAACATGAAATGGAGCAAACTTCAGAGGATGGCGGAAAACAGGAGGGCCTGGCGAGATCTTGTCCATGGGGTCGCGAAGAGTCGGACTCGACTGTGCGACTGAACAACAAATAGTGCGTTTCTGGAGGGACAGTCAGTCTGGCTTGGAATGGTTGGATTTATGGGCACACAGAAGAGGTCTAATTTTGTGGGTTTTTCTTCCTGAGAAACAGGACCTCTGATGGCCAAACCTGACCTCATATCCTGGCTGGAAGAAGAGGAAGAGCTGTTTCTCCTGGGCTGTGATGAAGAGGAGGGGTTGGCAGGTAGGAGCTTAAGATATGTGTCTGGAGACTGTGTTGCCCGCGCTCCCTTGGAATGGTTGGTGAATTTCTGTGGCCTTGTTTTATCCTCACTGTTTGAATTTTCTCTAGAGCTGGGATGAATTATGGGCACTGAAGATCTTGCTTGTAGATCTTCAACCCAGGACAGGAGGCAGTTTCCTTCTGTTTACTCTTATGGCCATTAGGCCAAGTCTAGTCCAGTCTTGTCCACTCTGGAAGTCAGTGTCTTTCTGGCCAGGGTGTCTGCCAGCCCCGTTTCGCCTGAGATCCTTTTACAAGGAAAACACAATCACAAGACCCAACAACAACAGCCATAGCATCTCAGGTTCATTCACTTGTTATCTTCCAAGGCTGTATACAGCAGCAATGGCCTTCCTCTCTGTTTGATGGAGAAACAGGTCAATCCCTGCACAAAAGAATAAATGGACCCAAGAGTAAAAAGGTTCCCTTGCTCGAAAGGGGAAACAGGGCCTCTGATGGCCAAACCTGACCTGATATCCTGGCTGGAAGAAGAGGAAGGGCTGTTTCTCCTGGGCTGTGATGTAGAGGAGGGATTGGCAGGTAGGAGCTTAAGATATGTGTCTGGAGACTGTGTTGCCCGCGCTCCCTTGGAATGGTTGGTGAATTTCTGTGGCCTTGTTTTATCCTCACCGTTGGGATTTTCTCTCAAAAGAGCTGGGATGAATTATGGATGCTGAAGTGTTGCTTATTGATCTTCAACCCAGGACGAGAGGCGGTTTCCTTCTGTGTACTCTTATGGCCGTTAGGCCAAGTCTAGTCCAGTATTGTCCACTCTGGAAGTCAATGTCTTTCTGGCTGGGGTCTCTGCCAGCCCCGTTTCGCCTGAGATCCCTTTACAAGGAAAACACAATCACAAGGCCTAACAACACCGGCCGTAGCCTCTCAGGTTCATTCACTTGTTATCTTCCAAGGTTGTACACAGCAGCGATGGCCTTCCACTCTATTTGTTGGAGAAACAGGCCAGTCCCTGCACAAAAGGATAAATGGACCCAAGAGTGGCAGTTCTTAAACAGAGAAGCTTCAAGGGGGAATTAAAGCCCCACCGTCTGACTGGGATATAAGACTGAGAGATCTCCATCCTGAGTCGCATATGACAAAGGAAGCCTTGACTCCAAAAGCTTGACTCCAAGAGCCAGTTTGGTGTAGTGGTGACTAAGCTTTTCTGTTCTGCCCCATAGCATTTCTCCTTTGTTCTAATCTAGCTAATTACAATGTGCATGGGTACCTCTGCATCCTGAGTTCCTTTTTTGCAACACCTGTCCCACCCTCTGACTGGGATATAAGATTGAGAGATCTCCATTCTGAATCGAATATGACGAAGGGAGCCTTGACTCCAAAAGCTTATACACAAAAAAACTTGTTCGTCTTGAGGTTCTGCTGGACTCAAAATTAGGTATTTGTGGAAGGTGTCATATTGCTCACACCAGGTATCCCTTTCTTTTTTTTTTCAGCAGGAGACGTGTGGCCATCAGCTAATGAAGCAGAAGAACACCTGCTGATGTCAAAAGAGGATACATATTCATATGTGAAAGAGAAGATGGAATATCCGGATGCACCAAGGAAGGAGGAAGGAAAAGACCCACCTGAACGAAGGAATAATTCTCGTCTTTTACAGGGGGATGACTCTCTATGGCAAAAAATGTGTCAAGGAGATGACAAGAATGAGTGCACTGCAAGCAGGGAAAATTTCACTGAAATATCAGTTATTAATGTTCAACTAAGAATGTTTAACAGAAAGGAAATATACACATGCCTGGAGGGTGAAAAAAGTTTCAGGCAGAGAGTGCACCATGCTTCTCACCAAAATATTCACGCAGGGAAGAAACCATATAAATGCCTGGAGTGTGCGAAAAGCTTCAGTAGCAGTTCACACCTTTGTGTCCATCAGAGAATTCACACAGGGGAGAAACCATATAACTGCCTGGAGTGTGGGAAAAGCTTCAGTCAGAGTTCCAGTCTGACTTTCCATCAAAGAATTCACACAGGGGAGAAACCATATAAATGCCTGGACTGTGGAAAAAGCTTCCGTTGCAGTTCACACCTTTGTATTCATCAGACAATTCACACAGGGGAGAAACCATATACATGCCTGGAATGTGGGAAAAGCTTCAGGCAGAGTGCAAGCCTTATTTCCCACAAAAGGACGCACACGGGGGAGAAACCATATAAATGCCTGGAGTGTGGAAGAAGCTTCAGTCACAGTGGAAGCCTTACTACCCGTCAAAGAATTCACATAGGGGAGAAACCATACAAATGTTTGGAGTGTGGGAAAGGCTTCAGTGAGCGTGGAAAACTTACTTCCCATAGAAGAATTCACACAGGGGAGAAACCATATAAATGCCTGGAGGGTGGAAAAAGCTTCAGGGAGAGTGCATACCTTAATTCCCACCAAAGGATACACACAGGGGAGAAGCCATATAAATGCCTGGAGTGTGGGAAAAGCTACACTGACAGTTCCAGTCTTACCTCCCATCAAAGAATTCACACAGGGGAGAAACCATATAAATGCCTGGAGTGTGGGAAAAGCTTTACTGACAGTTCCACTCTTACTTCCCATCGAAGAATTCATTCAGGGGAGAAACCATATGAATGCCTGCAGTGTGGAAAAAAGTTCAGTCAGAGTGCACACCTGACTTCCCATCAAAGGATGCACATAGGGGATAAGCCATATAAATGCCTAGAGTGTGGGAAAAGTTTTGGAAGAAAAGATAATCTCATCTCCCATCAAAGAATTCACACAGGGGAAAAACCATTCAAATGCCTGGAGTGTGGGAAAGGCTTCAGCCAGAGTTCCAGTCTTACTTTGCATCGAAGAATTCACACAGGTGAGAAACCATATAAATGCCTGGAGTGTGGGAAAAGCTTCAGTCGAAGTGATGTTCTTAGTCTGCATCAAAAAATTCACACTGGAGAGAAACCATATAAATGCCTAGAGTGTGGGAAAAGCTTCAGTCACACTGGAGGCCTTACTTCCCATCAAAGAATTCACAAAGGGGAGAAAGCATATCAATACCTCTAGTGTGGGAACAGGTTCAGTCATAGTGCATGCCTTACTTTCCACTGAAGGACACACATGGGAGAAGAAATATAAATGCCTGGAGTGGAAAGTTTATGTTGGAATAATCAGCTTACTTACCACCAAAAAATTCACACAGGGAAGAAACCATAGAAATGCCTGGAGTGTGGGAAAAGGTTCTGTCAGAGGGCACACCTTACTTCCCACCAGAAGTGGAGAGAAAATCTGCCACATATTCATGATTTTAATGATATTTATGAATATTTATGCATTATGTAGCTTTATAGCCTTTGTAAAGTTCAATTCCTGGGCAGGAAAAGTACCAAAAGTTCAGAACCGCCTCTCAGCCTTGACAGTTTATTAGTATAACTGAAGAAATAGGAGATCTGTTGCTCGGGAATTGTGAACAGCTGCTGTCTTGAGTCTTATAAACTTGATTTGAAAATTTAATGGCAGTTATCGAGATGTATTCTAGTCCAACTATAGTTACTCCTTTGCACAATTACTTTAGGGTCCAATTGTTAACTTTGGAGGGCAATCACATCTTCAAGTTCAAAAGTTTTATTTCTCTTCCTCTGACACCTCCATCAAACCTGTCGCATAAGGGTCTGATCAGGCTTTCCACTGGTGATGTCCAATCAGAACAAGACCTTCTGTTGAGTGAGCATATCACGTGTGCCGGGCTTCCCATTGTACATAGCCTCCTGCCTCTCAGCGTAAAAACTGACTTGCCTGAATCTTAGAGAATTGTAATGCTTCTGTATTTAGCTAAATTTGAGAGCTGTCACTAGACCCGATTTTTTATTGCATGCGTTTCTCTGTACTTGTAATGATTAACTTTCACCTGTTTGTCAAATCCTTGCTCAATACAAAGAGACTGCTTTATTTTAAATAAAATCATTCTCTCCAAGAAGGGTCATTGTTTGTTCTGCTGACGCATGATCTGAAGTCTGGCCTCAAATATCTCATTGTACTGGAAGAGATCAGTCTCTCAGGAAGCTTGCTCCATTAAACCCTAATGGGTGATTCTGCTTGAATCGGTGTTCTTATCAGGCTTACTTGAAGGGATTCACCATACCCTTCAGAGCCCATCACAGCCTAGGACCCTCGTACCTGTGGAATAGCCTCTCCCCCTCTGCTCCACCAAGACAGCTTGGCTCTGAGCAGGGCCTTCTGCAGGTGCCTCCCTGCAAATGGGCAGAATCAGCAACTGCCTTTTTATGTGCATTCTACGTTGTGCCCAAAGCCTGGGGGAACAGCCTGCCCGAGGAGGTGAGGAAGGGCTGCCATTCTCCTGGTTTCCTGCAATTTATGCAATGAAATGTTTTCAGGAAGATGTTTTGGTACAGGGAGCCAGTTTGGTGTAGTGGTTAAGTGCGCGGACTCTAACCTGGGAGAACCGTCAGCCCCACCTACCTCACAGGGTGTCTGTTGTGGGGAGGGGAAAGGAAAGGAGTTCGTAAGCCACTCTGAGACACCTTTGGGTAGTGAAGGGTGAGGTATAAATCCAATCTCTTCTCTTCTCTGTATTATGGGATCACGGGAGGTGGTCGTTCCGCTCAATTCTGCTGTGGTCAGGCCTCACCTGGAGTACTGAGTCCAGTTTGGGGCACCGCATTTTAGGAGGGATGTTGACTAGCTCGAGTGTGTCCAGAAGAGGGCAACCAGGATGGTGAGAGGGCTGGAATCCAAGTCTTATGAGGAAAGGCTGAAAGAGTTGGTTATGTTCAGCCTGGAAAAGAGAAGGCTTAGAGGGGACATGATTGCAGTCTTCAAGTGTTTGAAGGGTTGTCATGTAGAAGATGGAGCAGATCTATTCTCTCTTGCTCCAGATAGCAAGACTAGATCTAATAAGTGGAAATGACAAGGGCGTCGTTACCGGCTAAATATCCGGAGAAACTTCCTAACTGTCAGAGTGGCTGAGCAGTGGAACAGTCTGCCTCTGGAGGTGGTGGATGCTCCTTGGCTGGACGTTTTCAAGCGGAGGCTGGATGACCATCTTTTGGGTATGTTGTAGGGCTATCTTTCAGATATGCTCCTGCAGAGTGCAGGGGGTTGGACTAGATGACCTGCTCCAGAGCAAACTAATTTTATGCAGCAGCCAAACTACCTGCTCACAACTTTAATGCCAGTCGTTCACAAAGTAGAATTTCTGCTCACAGGACTCCACAGCTTAGAGGGAACATTGCTTGCTACATGTGCCCACCCCCTGGGCTTACTGCCGGAGCTCAACTCCTGTGCGCTCCTGCAGGAAATGACCCCTGGGCAGGGCTAACCCTCCCACCCTGCCCAAGGCCCTAGGACCACCCGCACAATTGTCAGTGGTCCTTGGTCCTACCCTCCACCTATTGGCAAGGCGATAACCGGGCAGGGTTTCCTTAGGGTCCGGTTCACCCACCAGCAATGTGATTACTGGTTCGGAACTAATCCTCCCAGTGGATTGCCGGAATGAATGCTGGACTGATCTGTTCCCCCATCAGGATCCACCCACCCTTGTCCTCCCTTTGGGTTGGAGACAATTATGCCCTTGCTGGCTTTTAATGTTGGACAGTCACGCCTCACCCCCACAACAAGTGTTGGGTTCACTGGATGAGATAGCACGGTCACCCCATCGTGAAGGTGACCCCCTCAGTCTTCCCCTACCCCGGTCCCCCCTTTGTTTTTCAATTCCGTCTACGGAATGTTCTAACGGACCTTCCCCCATGCCTTCCCACTAAAGTGAGGCACAGGCTCTCTACCCTCAAACTGGGTTCTTCTAACTCAGGAATGTTATTCCCGTCAGGAACCACACACCCTTCCTGTCTGCCCAAAGTTAACAGTCCGTCATACCAAACACAAACTGCTTATCATCACCCCAATGGGAGCATCTCACCATGTCGAAACTAGAGACCCAATTTGGTGTCGTATTTAGGAGCATGGACTCTAATCTGGGAGAACCGGGTTTGATTCCCCACTCCTCCACATGCAGCTGCTGGTGTGACCTTGGGTCAGTCACAAGTTCTCTCAGAGCTGTTCTCTCAAGGGCAGTCCTTGAAAGAGCTCTCTCAGCCCCACCTACCTCACAGGGTGTCTGTTCTTGGGGGGGGGGATTGTAAACCGCTCTGAGACACCTTCAGGTAGTGAAAGGTGGGGTATAAACCCATTCTCTTCTTCCTCTCTGTTTGCCTGCCGGCAATAGAATCTGTTTTACCTATTAGGAAATGTCTTGTTAAAAATGTTAGGGTGAGCTTTTGAGCTGCTTGAGAAGACCTGTCTGTTGAGAGGGCCATTCCCCCTGCCAAGGCAGAGCAGGGTGGAAAGACAAAAAGGCATTTTGGGGGGGAAGCTTTGGGAACATTCAGATTGTCTGGACTTCAGAGGGGCCATTTTCCTCACCCGGTCCCAACGGCAGCCATTTCCTCCTCTGAGGTGGGTCTTTTTGTAAAAATTGGCTCTAGAATACCATTGTATCTATATACCATTGCACCGATAGATGAAGCATTCTCTCCGAATTCCCAGATTTCATTTTAGAAAAAAGATTTAACCCCTTCCCTTGGGGGAGATATGGGGAAAGGCTTCCCAAGGGGAAGCGGGTGAAGAAAACTTTTTTTTTTTAATTAAAGGAGGAATTCATTTGAAACTGATACAGCTATCAGTACCAGGGTATATCAATTATAGCAGTATAATTGTGCTGATTTTCTGTAAATGAAATTTGCAAAAGCCCTTTGGGCCCATGGCTGTGGCTGATTCTGTGGAATTCAGGAAGAGAAATTGTGGGAAGAGATGCCATGAGGAAGCACTGCTGCATCTCATCTGCAGCCACATCAGCATTGGGGAGATTATAAAAATCCCATCTCTGTGATGAAGAAACCTTTTTTTTAAAAATTATTTATAACTTTTTTACATCATACATAACAGATGCATCACTGACATTAAAGTATTCAAATTATCATGAGTCTATTTTGGTAATTATTTTCTAACCATATATAAAACCTATGCCATCTTTTATTAAACACGTCCTCATAAACAGTGTTAAATTATCCATCTCAGCTATGTCCAACATTCTATGTACCCGTGCTTCTCTTGAGGGAATTTGTTCTTGTTTCCAATATTTAGCAAATATAATACAAGCTGATGTTAGCATATATGTCATTACATATTGATCTCTTTTATTACATTTGTCTGGTAAGATATTTAACAAATAGATTTCAGGACACAAAGGTAAATCTATATCTATAATTTCCAGGCTGTGGAAGGTCAGTAGTTCAGCAGTTCGAGACCCGAGTGTGCCGCATGACGGAGTGACCTCCCGTTTCTAGTTCCAGCTCCTGCCAACCTAGCAGTTCGAAAGCAAGAAATTGTAAGTAGATAAATAGGTACCACTTCGGTGGGAAGATAACAGCGTTCCGTGCGCCTTGGTGTTTAGTCATGCCAGGCACATGACCACGGGAATGTCTTCGGACAGCGCTGGCTCTTTGTCTTTGAAATGGAGATGAGCACCGCAACCCTAGAGTCAGACTTGACTGGCTTTCGAGCAAGGGAACCTTTACCCTTACCTTTTTAAGGTCCAGGACCTGGTGAGAACCCCAAAAGCCACAGGTGGCTGTGAGCTCAGCACCTGAGAACAGGAGACATGGTCCAGACAGAAGGAATCAGAAGTTTGTTTTAATAACATCTCAGAGATGTACTCCCAAGAGAAGGATGCTGCTGACACGATGGAGACGGCACTGCAATAGACGAAAAAATCTACTCAGGAATGGATTTACTTTTCTCAATTACGTGCTCCTTGGTATTCAAGTTAGGCCTCAGTAGAATGATGTAGCATTTGGGAAGGAAGAGGCAACCCAGCAAGCCAGCGCTGGAGGCCAGGATGGAGAAGACCTGCACGGCGACCATGTATTTCCCTTTCGTGCTCAGGTAGGTGGGCACAAAGGACACCCACACACTGCAGAACACCAGCATGCTGAAGGTGATCAGCTTGGCCTCGTTGAAGGCCCCGGGAAGCTTCCTGGCCAGGAGAGCCACCATGAAAGAGACGGAAGCCTGGAAGCCCATGTAGCCCAGGGCACCATAAAACAAGACGACGGACCCTTCGTTGCATTGCAGTGTGATCTCTCCACGAAGGGAGCGCATGTCAGACTCTAGGAAAGGGGGAGAGACAGCCAGCCAGATGGTACAGAGGACAAATTGGAATGCGGAACACCCAATGACAATGGAGGTCGCCAGACTCTTCCCCAGCGATTTCCTCATCCTGTTCCCCGGCTTGGTGGCCATGAAGGCCACCACCACGGTGATCGTTTTGGCCAGCACAGAGGAGACGGCAACCGAGAAGATGGTGCTGAAGGCAATTTGTCGGAGGAGACAAGTCGCCTTCCTTGGCGGGCCGATGAAGAGAAGGGAGGACAGAAAGGAGAGCAAGAGGGAGACCAGGAGAATGTAGGTGAGGTCCCGGTTGTTGGCTTTGACTATGGGAGTATCCATGTATTTAACAAAGACTCCTAAAATGAGAAGCGTGACTAGGGACAGGACCAGGACCAGGAGAACGAGGACCGTCCCCAAAGTCTCCTGATAAGAGAGATAACTGATACGTTTGGGAATGCACTGAGTGTGGTCCGCGTTGGAATGTTGATCTTCTGGGCACTCGGCGCAATGGTCCGCATCTGGAAAGAAGAAGAATGCCTTCAGCATCTTGTTCATCTCTTTCATATGAGACGAACAATCAGAGCTATTTTTGGGCAGGAACGGAGTTCCGGCTGGCTCCCAAGTTGGCCACGCCAATCAGGAACTCATTAGCATAATAGGCCACACTCAACAGCAGAAACTCATTAGGATTGGCTACATTAGGGGTGTGTGGCCTAACATGCAAAAAGCCCTAGAGTTTGACAACAAGCAAGGTAAAGAGAATATAAAACAATAGGTGGGTGTGGCTGGATGACCACACTTCTGGTAACACGGGGGTGTGGCCTAATATGCGAATGAGCTGTGCAGTCAGGGTGTGGCCTAATATGCTAATGAGTTCCTGCTATTGGGTATGGCCTATTATGCTAATGAGTTTTTGCTGGGCTTTTTCTACAAAAAAAGCCCTGCGAACAATTAATAAGGACTTCATTAGGCTGCATAGAACCTTTGCATCGGGGTAAGAATTGTGTTTTTTAAAAAATGTTTGTGTATTTATAAAAATTTCCCGCACCTTCTGTCTTTGGGCATGATGCAACTAGAAAGGCAACAAGCTGCAAGAACACAGAAACAAATAGTCCTTTAATCAGACAAAAATAAGCCGAAGACCAAATAGAAAATGCAGATTTTTGAAGCAGAGAGAGTGGTGAAGGAGTGCACTAAATGAAAGATAAAAGTAATCACGGCTTTTTTTGTAGAAAAGCCCAGCAGGAACTCATTAGCATAATAGGCCATACCCAACAGCAGAAATGCATTAGCATATTAGGCAACAGCCCTGACAGTGCAGCTCATTAACATATTAGGCCACACACCCATGTTTTCCCTTGGCTTGTTCAAGCAAGCCCCCCCCCCAAAGGGAGCCCAGGAAAGCCAGCCCTTGGACAGGCCGATCCTTCCAAGGGGGGGCTGGCCCCCCTGCCTCAGAATCACCGGGGTGGGTGTGTGTGTCACTCTCCAGGCCTTCCCTCTGTAGCCATGCACGCAGAGGTTTTGGCTGAAGTGGGCGTGGCCAACTCTGAAGCCAGCCGGGACGCCGTTCCTGTGCATACCTGCCCAAAAAAAAAATAGCCCTCAAAGTAATAATGGCATATGATTATTTGCTTATTTATTTAGAAATTGTAAGCTCTATGGTCACCCACTGAAGGCACCTCAGAGATAAAACGTTCAGTCAAAGGATAAAACCGCAACCTAAGAATGATAGATTTTAAAAAGGAAAAAGCCCAGTAGCACCTTTAAGACTAACAAACTTTGTTGAAGCATAAGCTTTCGAGAAACACAGCTCTCTTCGTCAGATCATGGGGGGTGGGGGGGAAACAGCACCTCTCGCTGAGGCCTGCCGTTTAGCTAAATCCCCCTAGAGACTGAAGGCAGCGATTCAGACTCTTAAAATCAAAGCTGGTAGGGGTAACACCTCAGTTTCGGTATAAGGCTGAGCGTTCCAGTAGAAATACACAGCTAAAGGTAAGCCAAGGAGAAAACCATGGTTTACTTATTGCTCATGGATGCCACACTTCAGCTTGACATGCTCCCATTATATCTTCACAACACAACTTAGTGAGGCACAACTGGCTCAAGATCACCAAACTATAGTTTCTGTGACAACAACTTGTCTACAAAGGGGCATCAGCAATGTCTTACAAAGGTCCCGTTCACACGGAGCATTTGCCGTGCTAAAGATACAGATGTTGCGGCACGATCACACCTCAACATCTGAGAAGCGTAGTGTACCTGTGGCTAACCCGTGGCTTCTTGCCGAAGATACGGAGTAAAAAAACTAGTACATACAATGTGCTAGTTTCCAGAAAATGCGGGGCAAGGGCCGGCGTCTGATCACGTTTCTGCTGGAATCCTGTGGCATCCGGTGCCCACCCATGTCCCTTCTCAAACCGGATGTTTTTGGTTTTTTTAAGTCTCCACAGGATGCGCACAAACGCCCACTGGCACATGCGCACACTGCGGTGAGGGGGGGAAATTCCCGTTTGTCACGGAAGCGGCGCCTAGCGATTGCCAGTGTGATCGCACCGCACCACTTCCTTGCCCCGCTGCAGGATAGCCGTGTGATCGGCACCTAACGGCATACCCACAGGACCTCCACGGGACATGTGATCGGGCTGCCGCGCATTACTTTGCTCCGGGGCAAACAGCTACACTCCCCCCCCCGCGCATTTTCTGGCCCGTGTGACCGGGACCAAAGAATCCCAGGGGATGGCATAAGATTCTATGGGGAATTTACTGATGCATACCATTGGGTCCTCCAAATTTCCAGTCAAGCCTGATTCGCCGATCCGCATTGAACCTGCAAAGCAAGGACCTTGTGCAGAACTAAGGACTGCAGCATTTGGGACAGTGCTGAGAACAATGAATGCCGTTCACCGCACCAAAGGCTGGTGGCGTTGAACTCTTCTTCACACTCACTACCCTTTGCCCAGTAGTGTCTCCAAATTAAGCCTTTCCTTTTCAGATTGAAAAAGAAAGGACCCGTGATTACAAAATTCCAGGACAGTGGTCAGAAAATACCAAACTGATTCTTTGCCCTGCGCCTCGAGGGCCATCTTTTCCTCTAATCACCCACCTTCCTGAGAGGAGATGGTTCCTTCGGCACATGGAGAACAGTCATAGCAGCAAACGGGCTTTCCTTTCAGGACCACTTTCGCATGCCCAGGGAGGCAGCTTGGGGTACACCTGGAATAAGGCAGCATCTAAGCATAAAGACAAAGAGGAAATCTGGGGGAATGAGAACGGGTTTCTGTGATGATAATATTCTTTGTACTTCTTATAAAACACTTGCTTTGATTGATTTTTCATTTCCCACGCTTAAAGTTAGCCACTTTAATGTCTTTTTTAAAAAAAGCCTTACACTGCCTGGGACCAACCTATCTAAGGGACCGCCTCTTCCTGTATATGCCCCGAAGAGCACTACGCTCTATGGATCAGGATCAGGATCAACACCCCGGTAGTCCCTGGCCTGAAAGACGTCCGTCTTGACTTGACCAGGGCCAGGTCTTTTTCTGCCCTGGCCCCTGCCTGGTGGAACATGCTCCCCAATGAGTTCAGGGCCATGTGGGATCTACTTCAATTCCTCAGGGCCTGGTTGTTATAGAATACTAGCCTAGTCCTTTCCCCATTTCATGCACAGAGAGTGGAATATGTTTCTGTTTTTATTAAATGCACTTTCAGCATTTTAGCCTATCTTTGTTTCTGACAGTCATCTCATAGCATGACATTTCAAACTAGATAAACAAGAATTCCTCTGCAGTCCTCCAACCTGGAGATACTTAGGTTGAGCAGTGAACCGTATGTTCCTTGCGAATAGTCCAGCCTGATCCTGAGCATATGTATTCATGCACCCTTCACACTGAGCTGAGCGACATTTGTTAAGTGCGTTCTTAATGCATCATTTCTCTCTCGCTAGGAATTTACCTTTGCCCTATTAAACCATGTACATATTCAGCCACTTTTTCCCATTAGCAAAAACACTGACAAAACTGAAAAGCCCACGTACAAATGGTGATGCCAGGTAAGCTTGTACCATAACAGGAAATGGAACACTTTTAAAAAACACATAGCTAAGACAGTGTCCTACATTAGGTTTGCTTGTGTATCATTGGTGAATCAAAGAGAGAGAGAGAGAAAGAAGAGAGAGAATGAGTAAAGCAACTGTAAAGCTGTTGGGTTTTTGAAGTGACATCTCTTTTTCCATGACATGTGCTGATCAAGCATTTTGCTTTTCACATTGAATCAATGAGGCATAGCAAAAAGCTCTGCCCTGGGCTGGGATTAAACCTGCTCAAAGCATTTGCTATCAAAAATGCACAGTACATGACCAAGTGAATGACAGAGGTGGATATATTATTTCTTACATGGAACAATTTTCTTTAGTGATAAACTATTCCACCAGGGATCCACATAGGAATTG